TCCTTCTACATCAATAAATTAAGAAATTCGCTAGGAAGACGGATGGTTTCGAACTCAAGTACAATAATTGATGAAAAATATATTCGCTTGAAGATAATCAGGCTTTTGGGATGCACCACGCATTATACTTGTATTTAGAAAGCAGTGGCTTTTAAGTGTGTGTTCTCCTTTGACAATGGCTTACGTAGAATAACCGATGAGCAGTCCGGCTCTACCAGGAGAGCGTGGTACCAATTAACCGCCCGTGGAAGGGAGGAGAACATGGTTGACTGAATTTCAAAGCTGACCCTGGAACTTGATTTCTGGACCATCAGTGCAGTCGCGACGCCACTCTTCAGCGCTTACCATGTACCACACTTGACTTTAAACTAACAAGGAGAGTAGACCAATCAAGGGTTCTGTGCATTTGAAACTGATCAACATGCAAATTCCATAGTTGTAGGGCCAAAATCAGTTCCTTGAAAATAGCCCCTTATTCATTTCTATTCTACCATCGCGCTTATCTCCTTCCATTGCCCTTTCCTTTCCAACATTATGGGAATCGCTGTTTTCGTAGCGTAGATGAGCTAAAATCGGAGACTATCGATCCCAAATCCATCTGCACATTCGGATCATTCAGCCCATGAAAATTAGTGCTAGCTTTGCCTCGGAAAACAATAATTGGCTGAGCGGACTCGTCTAGAAAGTCGTAATATGGATAAATGCTCACTTAAACGATTAAAAATCCTGTATAAAAATTCGCATGGCGCATCCTCAACTACTTATATCCATTCTCACTACATTTCCTTTGACATTCCTAGCCGAAATTATCCGTTTACAAATGCTTACCAAGTCAGCATTCGTATAGCATAAATTATACGAAGTTGTACGCTAAGGCCGATGTCAGACTTTGCGAATCGCGCGATTCGCTAGCGTCTGCGGTCGCGTCGCGGCCAGTGAATCACTCAATTGGCTGGTACCGCAACGCGACCGCGGACGCTAGCGAATCGCGCGAATCGCTAGTAGCGAATCGCGCGATTCGCAAAGTCTGACATCGGCCTAACAGTGTATGATTCTGCGGTTGGAAATTCGCCAGTGGAAGGACGAAAACCTTTCATTCAAAAATCGTAACAATTTATCCGTAGGTAACCATAGATCATTCGCAAACACTTGGAATATAAGAATCAATCAACAACGCATTTAGAAATCAAACTACGTCACAAATTGCAAAAAGAACCGTGAAATAAGCCGGGTTAGGGTGGTACATACAACAAGAGGTAAACGATTCGCCACGACATCCAGATAGTAAACAAAAATGAAATGCTTGCCAGCGGTTTCAGACTTCCGGTCCTCAACAACCAGGCACAAGCATCGTTATGTGATTCCGCTTCACAAATTGTGTCCAATTTTGTCACTCGTTTACCGTCCGGTGTTTGTTCGTACTCGACCTGGACAGCCAAAAATTATGGAGAGGACAGCAAATCGACGCAAAATAGACCCTATTCCATGCACTAAGTGTTCAGAGCATTGATTAAGTCTGACGATTCAATTCCGGAGGGGGTGCGTTCACAATTCAGTGGGAAAAAGTTCCGGGAAAAAGCAATTTTCACGAAACGTACCACATCCTCCAGTACCATATTGACGTAGTCGTCGAATCCCATCAATGTTCCAACAATCTCCTTTTCTCCTGAAGAAACCATATATAAATCAAGTACCAACTTTTCGAGATTTTAGCTAGAAGCAAATTGAGCAAAAATGAAGCCGTGAATCTATGAAAAATCAAAAATCAAAAATGCTCAAAGGGAGAAAATGGACCACAAGAGCTTAGGTTCTGCGTTGATGAATACCTCAATCCAATCGTATCTCATCCACTGATTATATCCTTTTTTAACTGTGAGCGATTTTTTGTTGTTTTGCCCCTTGTTTTTTTTTTTTTTTTTTTTTTTCTTTACGAGGACGGTCCGTTGTGTTCTTAACTTGAAGCAGAGTTGACGCCAATCATGATAAATGATTCCTTGGCTTTTAGACTTCCCAATTTTCCAGTACAACCTTTGTCATTGTACAACGGTAAGTTCACTAGGAAATATTGCCGAGACAAAACCATGTCCTATAGCTTTCCCTATACATTTTGGCCTGCTTCTACGTACTGGAAAATTCTTGAAGCTAGCCTTCGGAGGTTTCTTTTTCAAGATTAGCTCTTAGTCATCAGCAAAAATTACCAGTATAAGCGCCAATAATTCCATAACTTTGTTCACGATCTCAAGATACAAAAAAATCAACGAGTCCGGTGATATTGAAGAAGGTAATGGACTTGTCCAATAGCTCTCAGAGCGACATCTCTTAAAGGAAGGGACTATTTACCCTTTAACTGCCCCACTCCTCGCAGAAGCAGTCGGATTTTTCTCGCGAATTTGCCCTAACCGTGGGATAGTTGATCAGAAAGCTAAATTCAGGCGGTAATTGACCCGGAATATCACATTTGTTTACCGCTAGAACGCCTGGCGCTCGCGTCAGAAGCGCCGGCGCCAAAAGGCGCCAGAACATCTCGGATCCCCAAATTCGCTGGAAAGTTGTCCTCAGAGGTATTTTGACCCGTAGAATATCACACAAGTTCGTTGCGAGTGAGCCTGTAGCCTGCGCTACGAGCGCCCGCGCAAAACTGTTGTGATAGCGCCGGCGCCTGTGGCGCGGGCGCCAAGCGTTTTCGCGCTAAACCGGTGTGATATTCGTGTTCTACGGGTCGAAATACCCCGGAAACAAGTTTCTAGCCAAATCCTTAGTCATGGACGAATTTCGATCAAAATCCGGCTCAGTTCTTGAGGAGTGGAGCAGTAGATGGTAAATAGTGCCAAGAAAGAGATTCGTTCACTGCTCAAAGTAAGGTTTTGCTCATTAATAACGATATATAATTGATTGAAGTGACCGCATGCAGATATGGAATTCTTTTGAAAAGAAAAATCAGATGGTCTCACCCTTATAAGCATCAGATAAGCTTTACCTTTCATGATAACCCAGATCCGTGATCCGATACACTTATCCACCAATTCAAGAGGCAGTAATGTTGACGGATTCGTTGTTGTTGACGCCATCCTAGAAGATTTTCTTTGCTCTTTACTTTTCATATAGAGAGACCTTAAAACATTCAGAAGCAAAGTTCTTCTTGCACTTTGGTTGCATACCGGCACGCCCCAGAATCTAACTAGGTTTATGTGCTTGATTCACACTTTGCAAGCAAAGGGAGAAGTGGGCCAGCAGAAAATGAAAAAGGAACAGAATCCGACAAAGCGCTAAAATTAAGAGCTTGTCGAACCATATTCGGCTGTGCTAAGGCAATGAGAGCTTGAGCACCAGAAAGTGCAGTGGATGAGAGGGCGCCAGACACCATTGCAGCATGCTGCAGGATCGAAGCGCTTGAAGCGGTCTTTGGAAGACCCTAAAGTCCTTTACGCGCACTCGAAAGGCGGTGAAAGGGGACATCTGCAACCTTCACAAGCAGCTCTATCCTACCACTGGAAGGATTCGTCCACCTGAAGTAATCCTGGATCCCTTCAGAAGTGGATTGTCGAAAGACACTAGCTTACACTTGGTAATCACTAGGAACACGTTTAGTTCCTCCGGCGGGAATAAATCATACGTATGTGTACAGCAACCCAAAAGAAATATGAAGGGGACAACCTCTCCACAGAGCAGTATTCCACTACTTGACGGTACCTTATACGATGCAGAAGGAGAGTTCACACGCTCATATGCTGCTTCTCCATAATTATCAATAACCACGACTTATTAGCGCTAACCTCCAGTACTAGTCTAAGCACCCTGCCAACGAAACACAGCGCAAGTTCGTTGAAATGTGCCACGCATCAGTTTTCGTATTGCGAATGCAAACTATGAGAGGTTTAGCAGCAACACCAAGCACAAAACTATTTCATGCAACCTTGAACCTGCAAATAAATACAATACATTCGATCCTACGACATGTTCCAATGCAGAGACTTCAACAGTAACTTATTATAAAAATTTATTTCTGCACAGAAAAATGTTCGATTCAGCGCATATTTAATACAAGCACAGCCGAAACGAATAGAAAAAAATCAAGAAAGCATTCATCAGAATAAGATTGCATCGTGAGTAGAAAGAAAGCTGTAATCTAGTTATATGAGTTGTTCTGCCCTGTTTTATTAGGGAATAACCTATAACTTTATTGCAAGATATTTAAGAAGCAGTAACCCCACAACTCATACTATACAACAACCGTTAATCAGCTTTAGCCATTTCGGGACAAAGCTGACGGACAAATATCTGTGCCAGATTTTATAAAATATAGCGCCATAGATAACCTCTTGAAATACACACTAAATAAATTAAATTGAAACAATAAATCTTATTATGTAGGGAAACATTGCAATGAGTTGGAGTGCACCATGAATAACAAAGGCCAACAACAGGAGTGACTATTCATGAAGAACAGTCCAAAGAAAAATAGATATTAGCCGCTGTTGGAGCAACACAACATCAGAGAGGGAAGAACATAAGCAAATCACACGAGTTTTGGAAATACTACATCTATGAATAGCAGAGTAAAAAGCAGACAACATCTGATACATAAACTACTGTCGAAGTCGAAATACTGGCATGAATCAGAAAGCAGCAAAGCGTCAACCTTAACAACTCTGATGAAACAAAAAAAATGAAAAAAAATTACTGTAAGCAACTCCAATTTGGAATTATAGTTACCTCATTCTCACTGCTGCTCATCTTCTTCATCGGGAGCAGCAAAACCTTCTTCTGTTTCGTAAAGAATTTCCAAAATTCGCGCCACTTCTACTGTACCAATCGATTCGTTATCTTGGCAGACAACCTAAACGGATTCAAGCATAAAGTCTATAACTGGGTGCAGCTCAATGTTGCCGCATTTGTCACTCTCAAATACATAAAACTACAGTGGTGTTCGAGAGGTAAAGCTCAAGCAAGTACCCATCATTATTCTGATTCGAACGGTCATTATTCGGTGAACACAAATTGAGAGCAAGTTAGGAACTCACAGACTCAAACAATCACCTGCTTTCGAAAAAAAAGATTATAAAAAAAGAAAAAAACATAACTTTTCGTAAGTTAACAACTTTACCTCAATCTGTCGCAACTTGTTGAAGTAGAAGTCACGTTCTTTTTCTAAGCTATTCAGTACCGCATCACTTTCGCCTAATTGACGAGTCAGCTGAAAAGAAATGTTTGGAATGCACAAATGAAACAGGACTGTGTCGTGGCTTTGAGGTTTTCACCGATTTCGGTTGGAAAGATTATTTTCATGTGATTTATAAACAAACGGTCACCAAAAGGAATTTGCCTGCAATTACTATAACGTTTCAATATCGACTATGTTCAAGCAGACTACATCGTTCATCGCATAATAATCTTGATCGCGCTATTTCGCTTCCATTTTCTTCCAATAAAGTGTTGTCCGTGCAGATGTATAACTACGTTGTCGGAAGGATTTTAGCCTGACAACCCTTCAGCAAGAGGTCAAAAACTGGATATTATGACGGTATTCCACTGATTTAGCAATTCATGCAATAAAATTGATGGCTGATAGAAGCAAGAAAGCCTCGCAGTTGACTTAACCAAAACTGCGCCTGTTAGGCAACCAAAAGCTTTTGCGCCACCATCAGTAAAATTCCCGACATTTAGGTGTATTTGACCACTTACAACTAAAAGTTTCACAACGCAAATGAATGCCAAAAAGAAATCGTTGAAAACAAAAACTTGAAGAAGTAGAAACAATTCGCAAATAATCTAAAATCATGTCAAATTTCATCAACAGAACCTCACATAAAATATTCTCCATAAATTCTACTCACATCTTCAACTTCCTCTTTCAGCTGCTTCAATTGCATCGCGTCTGGCGAGGGGGCTGCGGCAGCAGGACGGCTCGCTGCCGGAGCTGGCTAAAATGCAATCTTATGACACCAAAACGGAAGAAAGAAATTGTTTGATATAAATGCAAATTTACACTCCATTTGTGTATATTAAGGAAATATATGCGATGACGTTGACGATACATATACGCGAGACTATTGGTCACGGCTATGGATGCGCGGCAATACGCTCAATTGAACATTAGTCATGGACGACAAAAAATGTAGTGCAGCAGTGCTGGTCTATGACAATTCGATTGGCTTTTGATGCTTAAAGAAGAATCAATAGTGTGATAAATTATTTACTTTAGTAACTTTCAAGCTGAAAAATACCCCCAGTCAGGAAAGAAACACATTTCCATCACAACCTAAAAGATGTCTTGTAAGGAGAGGATAGTGTGCACATGCCTACCCATAAGGCAGTCCTTAGACTTTGCGCCAAACATGCAAATCTACTGAAATATATCTGTTGCAATGCAGCAAAGTATGGACTCAACATCAAGACTCGCCATGCGCTGGACGCTATGCTCTGGAGCGCCTATCAAAACGATCAAAAGAATCAAATCAAAAATCAAAAGAAAAGGAATGAGCCAAATATGAGCCTAGAAATAACCATAACGTTTTCTGCAGATAAACCAACAATGATAATTGACGGGAAATGGCATTGAAAACTTCTGCCTGAGCTTTATCAAATTATCCCGACTGCCATGGGCTCACTGCCCCACTAAGTTAAGCCATGAGAGCGCATATGAGTGCATTAAAAACTCACATAAGCCGATCGTTAAAAGTTTGCACTGGAAAAAAATCGTAAAAATTTC